TAGTTCTGGGGGTGGGAACCCAGGATCACTGAGGAGAGAGATGGGTGGGGTCCCAGGAGCCCTGGGTGGACAGGGTGGGAGGGCATGGGCAATTGGCAAGGGACTCAGAGGGCAGGCAGGGGAGGCAGCTCATGGGACACTCACCAGGTGTTGGGAGGCCTCATGGGCTCCCGCGTGTTTCGGGACAAGTTGTGGTTTTGCTCACGCAGTGCTGGCACCCGGAACACCGTCCCACATGCCTAGACTCTCTAGGCCAACCTTATTTGTATTCGCCCTTTGGTACTCAGCTCAGGGTCACATTTCTGGAACATTCTCCAGTCTGACCTAGGTGCCCCTCTTGTTACTTTATCCCTGTCATCACATTTATTACATGGAACTGTGATTGGCTGTGTATTTGTCTGAGCCCCCTATGGACTTGGAGCTCCTCAAGTGCAGGAATTCCACATATTCGTTCCTTCAGCACTGAACAGAGGGCCTGGCCCAAAGCAGTGAATGAGCTCAACGGAAATACACGTTGGCAGTGAGAATGTCTCCTAATTATTATTCAGCAACTTCTAATTATGCAGGGCGTTCATTTCTCTTGCCTTCTAAGAGCCTCACAACCATGTTCAGAGAGCAGCAATTTATCCACATTTTCCAGTTAAAGTGAAGGCCCAGATCGGTGGAGAGGTTTGTTCTGGGTCATTTGGTTGATGAGCTGCCAAGTCAGAACTTAAACTCCTGTCTGACTCCAAACCCATATTCTCTCCTCTATACTAAAAGCCTGAAAGCACTGATACCCCAAACCTGGCTGAGACCATCATGGGTGATGCAAAAATTTCACAAATTCCTTGAAGATATGATAAAGGCACAGAGTGCAAGAAAGGAGAGGGAGGGAGGGAGGGAAGGAAGGAAGGAAGGAAGGAAGGAAGGGAGAAAGAAAAGAAAAGCAATTATAAATGCTAGATCAAACAAGAAGCTGCACCATAATATTATGGCCTAAACAGAAATTGTTCTAAAATGTAGCACGATTTTTAAAAACTGACAGAATATAATGCAAGAGAATCTTTTGATCTTGAGGTGAGAAATACTCCTCTTTAAATGCTCAGGGTCTTAACATGGACCAAAAGAAAGCAATGTAATTCTAGCACACTGCTTGGCCTCTGAAAGGTCAATTTTATTATAAAGGTCAATTGATATATATAAAATCTTGAAGGGAGGGAGGGAGGGAGGGAGGGAGGGAGGGAGGAAGGAAGGAAGGAAGGAAGGAAGGGAGAAAGAAAAGAAAAGCAATTATAAATGCTAGATCAAACAAGAAGCTGCACCATAATATTATGGCCTAAACAGAAATTGTTCTAAAATGTAGCACGATTTTTAAAAACTGACAGAATATAATGCAAGAGAATCTTTTGATCTTGAGGTGAGAAATACTCCTCTTTAAATGCTCAGGGTCTTAACATGGACCAAAAGAAAGCAATGTAATTCTAGCACACTGCTTGGCCTCTGAAAGGTCAATTTTATTATAAAGGTCAATTGATATATATAAAATCTTAATAATGTAAATGATGTTAACTGATTTTCAGTTGTTGCAATTCCCCGTGGACAAAACATGAAAGGCTTAGTTGAGGCTGCAGGACAAAGTAAATCTAAGAGAAAGGACGGTAAGAGAAAGCATGGTCAGGGATGAGGCAGCGTGAGGATGCAAACACGCTCACCACTTAAGCAGCAAGCCCCGAAACTGTTAGCAAATTCACGGAATAAGAGAAGACATGGTTTAGAACTGCAAAAGAAACCAAAGGAAGAAATTAAAATTATACTGTTACCCAACTTTTGGAGGCACGGCAGGGGTGGTACGAACGAGCTGGGTCCTCGTCGCTCTCAGAAGGAAATCACTAGTCTAGTGTCGAGTGGATGAATCAGAACAGAGGTAAACTCACACCATCCGCAGCTACGCGGGTGATGGCACTGAGATGCAGACCGCTGAAAGAAGTTGCTTCTGGACAATGGGCCTGTGGAAAACAGGGGACCACAGAAGCTAGTTCCAACGTAGAGGTGATGTTTAATTGAAACTGTAGGTTGATGAGCCATGCCGTAGATCTATTTATCCTGAAAAGCTTGAGAGTGGCGATCTGCATTTTGAATATGAGCCTGGGTGATGTTCAAGTGCTCAGGCCTGACTTGGAGCCATTGCTTTATGGCCTTGGATGGCTTGGGAGGAGCTGTTCTTATCTTCCCAGCTTCTGTGAGGACACCCAAGAATCCCTGAGCTGGTGGCATTCCCGCTGCCTTTGGAGGGCTGGGGAGGTGGAGGGCTTGCAGGGACATCTTGCAACTCCCCTTCGAGAAGATCACGTGCCTCGCCTTCCTGCCCTTCCAGCTGCTTCCAGCTTGGGAGGAAGATGACTCATATTCATGACTAGGTTCCTGTCCATTTCTTCATTTCCTTTCTTGATTCACAACTGACTGACCCTGAATGTCACCCTGAATGTTCTCAATGTGAGCAATGCCCCATTGACCTCCAGACTTTTGGGTGACCCTAAGCTTGATACTGGGTGTACTGTGACCTTCCTGACCTTTACAGATGCAGAGAAGAGTTTATGACATCTTCATAGCTTCACTGATGTACACTCACGTGTGCCCATCCCATTTGGGAATGGCTTATGTAACCCCACATGACTTCAGGGGAATCTCGGCGATGCATGAGAAAAAGCACTGGAGTGGGAGTCTGGAGCCCAGTTCTGAAACCAGCTCTGCCAGGGCTGGCTAGGGGACCCTGGGCATGCACTCCCCTCTTTTGACTTAATAGGGATTCAGGTCTCCTCCAGCTCAAACTCCCCAGCTATTGCACACTGTCTCTTCCGCCAGAGTTTTCTGAGAGCTATTCCAGGACAAGGACCATGGCGACCTGGCCTCTGGAGCCCTCCTAACTCCCATGTCTACCTTTCTCATGGGCTGGCATGCAGTCAGTGCTCGGAGTCCATTGCTAACTACAAGGGTTTTGTGAACAACACTTTACCGTTTTCTGTTCACATACATTAGCACCCTTAATCAGCAAGGCGAATCTGCAAAGTAGGCATAGTTTTTATAACAGGATGTTAAGATGGGATGTTTTCTATCTCAGATTTCAAAGGCTGAGAACAAAATAGCAGGTGTCATCCGGTAGTGCTAGACCATACATGCAGGGTTGACAGATGGGGTGGCCCAGAACTGGTTCCACTGACATCAGCTCATCACTCAACTCCAGCCACGTGAAAGAATGTGAACAACCCATTGTCAGGGTTAATTCTGGTGAACTGGGGGTTTTTATATCGAGGCAGAATGGACTTTTTAGTATCAGGAAAACAATGCGCTAGCTATGCCTGAGGTTTGGCTCAAGGGCAGGATAAAATATACATCTGAATAGGTGTAACAGGGTATTAGTCTTCTATGGCTGCTGTAACAAGTTGCCAGAAATTGATAGACTTAACACAACACAATTTTATTGTCTGACAGTTCTGTACATCAGGAAGACAACATGAGTCTGAAATGGGCTAAAATCAAGGTGTCAGCAGGGTATGTTCCTTTCTGCAGGCTCCAGGGCAGTTTCTAGAGGCTTCCTGCATTCTTTGGCTCAAGGTCCCCTTCCTCCACCTTCAACACCAGCAATGCCGGGCCAAGTTCTTCCTGCTGCCATCTTTCTGGTCCTTTCTTCCGCCTTCTTCTTCTGCTTTTACAAATCCTATGATACACTGGATCCAGCTGTGTAATCCCAGATCATTTAAAGTCAGCTGATTGGCAACCTTACCTCCATCTGCAACCTTAATTTCCTTCTGCTATATAGCCTTAGTTATTCACAGGTTCTGGGGATTAGGGTGCATACAACTTTGGGGTGCTATTCTATTTACCACAAATGGGAAACGGTGGGAAAAATGAAATTGCTTTCAGCTTACACCTTGCTATGCTCACCCAGTGAACTTCATTCTATAGGTGAGGAAACTGGTGTCTTTTCTTGAGTGGGCAGTGAAATCCCCTAGTGGCTGGGCCCCGTTCTCCAGGAATTCGGATCTAGTTGGTCTGGGCTATGGCTGGGGCATCAGGAGTTTGTAAAAGTTCCCAGGTGATTCTAATGAACAGCCAAGGCTGGAACCACTGGGTCGAAGGAAGTACTCCAGGTCATCCAAACACCCGGCCAGATGCGGCCCTGCACCCAGGCCTGTCTTACTTCAAAGTCCCTCTAAGGGGTTGGTGAAGGAGAAACCTCCTACACTTCTTCTGGAGGGAATTTTCACTTTAACTGGAAACAGACTGTGGTTGAAACCAAAGGAACAGCTTCAGTGGTAGAATGTCAAGCCCTCATCTCCCGAGAGCAGCAAAAGCCCAGGCCGTCCTTTGGGGGAGAAGAATAAGACGGCGTCCACAGGACAGAATTCGGGACAGGGGCAGAATAAGACAGCACCCACAGGACAGAACTCGGGACAAGGCACGAGATCTTGATATATGGCAAATGTGCCCCTTAGGAAAGTGAGTTAGAAAATCAGTTGCTTATTCGAGAGCTCAGGTCAACCAAAAGCTGGGGTGATTCCATTTCTTTGCACCTGCTCCCTCTCATATTCAATCTAGTCCTGTCAACTCCACTTCCTAAAGAGTCCTTGGATCTGTCTCCCCCCGCCCCCCACCTCCACGCACACTGCCTTGTCTCTCGCTAGACTGCTGCACCTGCCTGAGTGGGTCTCCTACCTCCATCTGGAACCTTCACAAGTAAATCCTTTCTATCGCTCAGGCTGTGTCACTCCGGGGCCTGCCCTCGATGGATCCCCGTTTACTGTGTCACTGTTTTCTGTTTGCCTGACATCCTCTCCTCCTGCAGGGCCAGGGTCTTTGTTTCCCAGCACCCAGCACAGAGCCTGGTGCATAGTGGCTGCTCCATAAACATTTGCTGAAAGGACACAGCAGCCTGGGATTCGAACCTCAGAAAGATTATTAAGATAGCTTTGGTGTCACCCAAGAATTGTCTTGAATTCACAGATCAGAGTCACCAATGCTTCACTGCATGTACACATTTTATTGAAAGTAAGTGGCTATTATAGAGAATAAGGAGACCATGGTGGGCAGCTTGGGGTGGGTCAGCAGGGGTGATGGGGGGTCTCAGGGGCTGGTCACTTGCTATAGCTCTTGGATCCTGGCCCTGGAAGGCCCAGGAGGTCTTCTCCAAGCCCAGATTCAGCTGTCAGTTCCTCCTCTTCACTACCTGCCGACTGCCCATCATTGGCTCCATCTGAAGCAGAAGAGGCAGGGGCGGGTTGGTCCAGACCACATCAGGACGTCTCCTTCTTACCCCCTTTCTTTTTGGCCCCAGGAGACCCCATCCTCCAAAGGGCATTTTCTACCAATGCCCTACAGAGGGGCACTTCCAGAGGTTAGAGCACCAGATTCACCGCTGGTTGTAGGGAGAGGCTAAGGGTACAGTGGCACTTAGGTGTGTCAACAGAGAGCCACCTGACCTTGGGAGCTAAAAGCAGAGTTGAGAATCTAACTGCAGGACAAGGTCACTTCCCTGCTTAATGTGCCACTCCCATCCCTTCCCACCTGAAGAACTCTCGTCATTCTGAGAACCCGAGACCAAGCGTCACCTCCCCGGGGAGCCTTCCCAGATGTGCCAGGGAGAAGTGAGCCCTCCCTCCTTTGGGCTCCCACTAGGGTGGCTGCAGACTTCTACCATGGCACCAGGGGAGCCAAAGGACCTTCACTGTGTTATGTCACTCACTCCCACACTCTTCCGGAAGCATCTTTAAAGCATCATGGTTATCTCTATATCTCCAGTGTCCTCATTATGATTCATATTCTCTCCTTAAAACCTCTTGAGCAGGAAGAGGTGGGAATGCCCACTTTTACCTGACTAGCATGGCCTCTCCAAGATTTTCTATGCAGCCCTTCAAGGGCTGCGAGGATAAGGTCCAAGCTCCTACCTTCTCTCCCTCCTCCAACAACCCAGGCTAGAAGCCCCAATGCTGGTTCACCACACAACCCTCCCACAGCCCTTCCTGCCCCTGGTACCCCCAAGGTCCTCCCCCTGTGCCTCTCTCTTGCATCCCCTCCCAGTCCCCCATCAGAACAGGAGGCACTTGGTAAAGAGAAGCCCCTCAGCCTGTGTTCTCCTCCTGGGAAGGCATCGTGCCTTGGCACAGTGACCAAGGGCTCCAACGCAGCGAGCAGGCCTGCCACCCGGAGAGCTCAGGAGATGCTGAGATCAGAGCCCAGCCCCCTCCATGAGGCCCCCGCCTGCTTTCGGGCATCGCTACCTGCCGAGGCCTTCAGAGACTGGATGTACTTGGACCAGAAGGAGCAGTCAGCTTTCTTCAGGCCCTGCCGACTGGGGAGCAGGGCACTGAACTCCTTGTAGGTCTCTCCGCCGGCACGGGGGACAAAGTCAGGCCAGGGGGCTGCAAAGTCAGGCGCTTTCCGTGAGAACTCATGAGGGTAGTTGGGATTTCTGGGAAAATGAGAAGAAAGAAACATCCATGAGGGAAACTGGTCTTTTCCTGTATCACTTGGGATCATTTCCCATTTGCACTTGGTCCCTGAGGGCCACGTTGTGCATCTTTAAGTGTCAAAGCCAGATTTGAACCCACCCAACCTGGCTTCCAGAGTTGTGGTCTGAACTGCAGCACTACAAAGCTCTAGGGATGGGAAGACTCCCCGAGCTCCCCTCTTTTAGGACATTTCTGGGGAAGGAATGACCTTGAATTCATGAGCTGAACGTTACTCAGGACTAGTGTTGCCCTCTGTCTTTCTGAATGCTCAAGAGGTCACGGTGTCCCTTTCTATCCTGATGTCCTTTGATCTGGGCTATAGCCAGTCTGTGGAATGCCCTTGTGTGTCCAAGTCCTGGGCAGGGGGTGAATTTAGAGCCAGGAAAACTGTCTGCCACCTACAGGTCAACTTGTCCAGGAAGGGGACGTCACATCTGCTCAGACACAGGCTTCTTCACAAATGTGCTGCCCAGGCCCGTCTCCCAGCATGTCCCCCTATGTAAGCGCCACACCAGCCCGCAGACCCCCTGCTGTTCACCACACAAGGTGGGTGTTCTCATCACCCCACCTGTGCTCACACGTGCCCCCCAGCCCACCCCCGAGGGCCTTTTCCTTTGCTTTGATGAACATTTTATTCATCTTTCAAGGCCCGGCTTAAACGTCATTTCCTCAGTGAAACATTTTCTAAAACCCCATGTAAAAGAAATGTGTTTTTCCACTCAACTCCCATAACAAACTGCACAAAGTTTTAGTTTGTACTGCTTTGAGTTGTGGTGGGTTTTTATGTTTCGGATTGTGAGGAGCTTGTAGCCGGGCCCTGACGCTTCCCTTTTTTACCTTTCTAGGGGACCTAGGCAGTTGTAGGTGATCAGTGCACATCTGGGAAAGAGACAAAGGGAAACAAACTGCCAGAAGGAGGGGACAGCAGGGAGGAGCCACTGTGCTAATTGGACTAGAGCAGAGGCAGCTGCAGAGGAGGGAGGCTAGAGATAGGTGCAGAGGGGCCTTGAGCGTCTACACATACTGTGATTATCTAAGGCAGTGCCATCGCCCTGGGGAAGAGAGGGTCCTCCTCCCAGTGGTTTGTCCCTGGGGGACACTCGGCAATGTCTGAGACATTTCTGGTTCTCACAACTAGAACAGGGGTGAGGACCACTGGCATCTGGGGGGTAGAGGCCAGGGATGCTGTTAAATATCCTACAACACAGAGGACATAACAAGGACTTGTCTAGCCCCAAGTATCAACAGTGCTGAGGCTGAGAAACCTGATCTAGAGCCACCACATGTGGCTGAACTAGAGAGCAGTATGATTGGAACCTTTCCCCATGAAGATTAACCTGTGCAGAGGTAGTTTTGGCTACAAGGGGGAGACTGAGACAGGGAGACTGGTGGCCAGTGACTGCAGGGTCTAGGGAGAAAAGGTGATCCCTCGACACAAAATGTGGCCTCTGCGTTCCAGGTTGAGGGAGGGGGAGGGGATGCACAGGACAGAAACCAGGACAAGTGTTCCACTCACCCCGACCTGATGAAGTTGGAAAAGTACTGCATGATTTTCAGTGACAGGCTTTTCTCCTCCAGAGAAAACTGCCCCTCGTAGGCAGGCTGGAGGGGAAGCCCAAAGGCATACTGAACATCTGCCAGCGATTCCAGGCTGAGAGAGCAGTGGGAAAGAAGAAGCTAAAGTTAAAGGAGTGATAACTCACTGGAAAAACCAAATAAGCCAAAAACCTATATTCCCCCCTATGCAATGGCTTTTCCCTTTTTACACTGTTTGGGATTCCTGTTTAGAGCTCAGTTTAGTAGAGATTTGGCTTGGCCTTTAGTCCAACTGCCTCTTGGGGCAGACCCATGGCCCATCTGTTGGTGGAAGCATGAACCATGCTGAGCACTGAACTCTCTTGAAATGATGCCTGTAGGCAATTTTCCAGGAGAACGCTCTGTTGACTGTATTCCAACCATGACATGATACTTACGGTATCACTGAGTATTTCTGTGTCCATCCATTCACTGAAAAAAGTAACAAGTACAGCCTCTATTTTGAGCCCCTTCCCTGCACTTTGCTCTTGTCCGTATGTAACTCACACTCTCACAACTCTTCCAGGTTGACATTTATCCATGTAGCCCACCCTGGCACATAGAAGTTGTTCAACAAATACATGTTATGACTGAATTAAGTATCTAGTAAGCAGCAGACAGATGGGAATAAAGATTGGAAGCCAGTCCAATGGTATGAAGCACGAAGCTGGAGCTGGAGCTGGGACTGGCGAGCCCATGGTACATGGGATGCGCAACTGAACACTGTGGGCCTGGGAGAGTATTAGAGAGGAAAAGCTGGAAAGGATTTTGCAACTGCATAGTAAAGACTGGCTTTTCTCAGAGAGTCTGGCCTTTGCCTTTGGCTTCTGGGAGGGAATCTATGTCAGACCTTATAGGAGCATCTTTGTTTAGGGCAGAGGTTGGCCATACTGGATCTTAGTGTGGATATGACCAAAACCTATAGTCTTAGGGTGGGGACTAGACATGCCAGAAAGACCAACAATGTGATTTAGGGTGGGAGCTTTGGGTCATGTGGGGTCAGTCAACCTGTAAATTGAGATTAACTACATGAGCGATCAATGAATCAATCATGCTCACCTAATAGAGATCCAATAAAATCCCTGAACACCAAGGCCTGGGTGAGCCTCCCCAGTTGGCAGTACTTGGTATGTACTGTCACACATCAACACAGAGAGAATCATGTCCTGACGCCACAGGGAGAGAACAGTGGAGATTCACATTAGGAGCCTTCCTGGGCTCTGCACCTCTCTCCATATGGCGATCGTAATCTATGTCCCTTCCCTATAGTAAATCATTACCATGAGGGTAGCAGCATTCAGTGAATTCTGAGTCCTACCAGTGAATTATTGAAACTGAGTGTGGTTTGGAGAACCCCTGAATTTGCAGTTGGTGTCAGAAGTAAGGGAGGTCTTGTGTGAAGACTGTGCCCTCTAATCTTGTAATTGGCCCCAATTTATCAAAAGAGCAAACCTCTAATTCTGCAGATGAGGAAAATGAAGTCCGGAGAGGTTTCCTGACTTGTTCAGAGATATGCAGTAAGCTAACAGCAGACTCAGATCAGGGCTGAAGTTTCCAGAAGGCACGACGCTAATGAAAGGCATGAGAGCCCAGGGCCTTCATACCTGGGACTTGGCTCCCCCACCTTCAAGCTGGTGACCTCTGGCAAATTACTTGATGTCCCTGATTCCCCACCTCCTCATCTATAGACTGGGTATACAAACACCTACCTCATAGGATTATCATGAAGATCAAAGTAAGATGGTGTGTGTGGTGGGAACTGACTACCAAGTGTGTGGCCCAGTTCTTCCTCAACACATCATTTGATCTCCTGCTGTAAAAAACATCTTTAAGGTAATTGTGGCATTTCTGACCCAGGGTATGGATCATTGCCAGCAGCTCTCATCTGTACTGGTGTCCTGGGCAGATGTGTCCATGGACAGCCTTTCTGGGAAAGGGCTGCAATGGGGTGGGTCCCTGAGAAAGGCAGTTTGGATGAAGATTAAGCTTTATGAAGTGCAGCACAACGTTTTGTGAAGAGACAGCTTGACTATAGCTAAGATCCAGTGATTCATTGTGCTTGCCCAAGAGATCTGGGAGAAAGGACTCTCTAGTTCAGGGCTTTCAAGGGGAGCATTTCAAGTGAAGGACACATCTTCCCTGTTGTCCCTTCCCTGCTCAGGCCAGGGACTGTGATGACAGCTCAGGTACAGGGACCCTTCCTTAACACTGGGGCCAGATGCCCAGACAACTTTCTTAACCTGGAGGCCTCTGAGGAATCAGGGGCCAGTATTTCTACTAAGGCCATAAGAATTATTGCCAGGTATACATGTGACTGGCAGTAAGCACAGAAGAGTGGACATAAACTGAGCCCCTCATCTGAGACTCAGCTCTGTAACTTACTGCCTGTGTAACTCTGGTTGAGTCCTTTGACTGCTCTATGTCTCAGTTTCCTCATAATAAAGTACCAAACTAAATGAGCTATTGCAGGTGGAAGCTTTATCCAAAACAAGTGTTTTTACACATGCCAGTTATTATGATTGAGGTTATGGTTATCTGTCAGTATTGGGTCCCTACACTGGAAAGCATCATGGAAGGAATACGGAGCCATGTACCATATACAGCACAGTTAGGAAGAGGAGAATGACAGTCACGGAAGAGGAGAATGACAGTCACAATTGTGGTGTCTCTTCATTCAATTCTCAGGTATCCTGGGCCCTCTCAGAGCAGGTTTAAGCTTTATTTGGCTAGAGAGAGAAGCAGCAAGTGGCAAATGTCATTGAAATCTGTAGGATGCTGGGAGTCAAAGAGCTAAGTCCCTTGTCCAACGTCAGAAGTATCTGTGATGGAGCTCAGAAAAGAGCCTCGGATTCCTCGGTTGCCGCAGAAGCCTGTTTTGCAGCCAGCTCTGCTCAGCGTCTGTTCAGTTACCGTTTCCTGAGCACCTGTGATGGGCCAGCCACTGTGCTTGGCAGATGTTTGACAGCATAGTGGCCACCATTCAGGAGAAGTGAATACTACCATCCACATACCTTCCAGGAGATGGCCCGAGGCTCAGAAAAATAATGGGACAAGCCCAAGACACGGGACAGTCTGATTCAAACCTGAGTGTCCTGGACCTCAAGTTGTGCTATGTTTAATCTACCTGTGAGCAGGGGACTGAGGATCACTAAAAAGTAATAATGTAAATGGTTAATAGAGTCTTAAGAGCCATATAGGGAAAATAAACACACAAAAGAAAAAATGCCAGGCAGACAGAAGTTGTGATAATACTGGCAAGAAAAATAATCTCTCCTGCAGACCCCAACATGGTAGTTTACCAATCACTCTCATTATCTCAGCAGCCCTGAGAATAGGTAGTATCACTCCCGGCAATGGTGCAACACCCCTCCTGTGCTGGGCATAGTGCAGCCAGGAGCCGGGGCTACGGGGGCCACCCTTGCTGCTCTCCCCCATGGAGCTTGCTCGGCCCTTCGCTGCAGGGTGGAAGGTGAGAGGTCCTGGAGAGAAAGTGGCTGCATTAGTTTGTTATTGCTGCCCTAAGAAACCACCACAAACCCTGGGGCTTAAAACAACACAAGTTACCTTCTCACAGTTCCTGTGGCTCAGAAGTCTAGTTCGGGTCTCACTGGGCTAAATCGAGGTGTCGGCAGGCTGGTTCCTACTGGAGGCTTTGGGGGAGAATTCATTTTCTGCTCTTTCGGGTTTGTGGTGGAATTCAGTTACCTGAAGCAAAGGACCAGGTCCTTGCTTTCTTGCTGACTGTCACTGAGGGCTGTCCTCGGCAACTAGGGCTGCCTTTCGGGCCCCTTCCTCCATGCTCAGGGTGGCCGTGTCCTTCTCATGCTGCATCTCTTTGACTCACTTTTCGCCTCCCTCTTCTGCTTTTGAGGACTCATGTGCTAAGACAGGGTCTACCAGGTTAATCCAGGACAAACTGCCATCTCAAGGTCCTTAACCTTAATCACATCTGCAAGGTTCCTTTGCCGTGTAAGTAACACATTTACAGGTGTCAGGGTTTAGGATATGGACATTTTGAGGGGCCATTATTCTGCCAACCACAGTGGCCTTGTCTACTTTTTCTTCCAAAAAAAAGGTGCATTCCAAGCAGTCTAGAGAACAGAGACAAACTTTTGAGACCAGAGTTCTCAGTTCAAATTCCAGCTGACTCACTTAATATCTGTGCAATCTTGGACAAGATGCATGACCTCTCTGGGCTTCAGTGTCCTCATCTGTAAAATGGTGACACAATCACACTTACCTCACACATTGAATGATATTTAGCAATAAAATATTCTAGATCTCTGACCCGGTTTCTAGCTCATACGCCCATTCCCTTTTCCTTTCCCTGTGAGAGACATCTGACAGCTTAAGAGCAGAGGGTCCCTAAACTGAGGGGTCCATTATAGGGTTTCAGAAGTCCATGAGTTCCCTGAAATTTTATGCAAAATGCTGTGAAACTGTATACATGTGTATCTTTCTTGAAGGAATCTCCATTAGTCTTCATCATGTTCTCAAGAAAGTCTGTGCCAATGGTGTGTTAGTAAATGTTTAACAATTGGCTCTTATTTGTAGCATCTGCCAATTTCCGTGGTGTAAATATTTCCTCCATAGCCAATTTCAAACTACCAAAGTGGTGCCATCAAACACAGAGCTGGGGAAAGATCCTGGCTTTGCCCAGCACTGTGTGTGACCTTAGAAAGGTTACAGAGTGCTGCCTGGCATTCCAGCCCATCCGATCTGGTGAATTTGAAAGCCTGCATGTATGGGAACCTCTGCTTTGTTTTTTCTGTAGCAAAGCTGATCTCTATCAGGATTCTGGAGTTATTTTGAGCAGTTTAAGGCAGACATCTGGAGGAGGGACACATGAGGGTACTTCAAAAAGCTCAAGGAAAGATTCGTATTATCTTTTATTTCTATTTTTCCACAAACTTTTTGAAGTACCCTCGTATAGCACATCCTCAGAAGAGGGGATACGGGATCAGAAGACCACCCTCAGTGAATTTAGGCACTGGCTGAGAATTCCAGCTCCTTTGGAGGAAGAAGAGGGAATGTGGATTCAGCATCAGCAGAGGGAGACATGGAAGAATACGCCAG